ACTTCAGCTAAGGTGTGTGACACAGATGAGCAGCCTTTGGGAAATAGGTTCAGGATCTCAGTTAGGAATTTAGAGGGTGAACCTTGTGTGATGACCATCAGCATAATAAAATACAATTTTGTTATACTGACTATGCATATCTACCTTCTTGCTCATGCAAGTTAGGATCACTTTCCTATAATTGATAACTAGATGTAAGTCTGCATTAGAATAATGACAGGAAAACTTTTCCAAACCAAAAGCAACATATCAGATTTTTAAAGAAACAGTGTATGACCTGTATTATACACCTAAAGTAACTTGTTTTACTCTAATTGCTTTGTAAGTCACAGGCACTTTTGAAAACAAATTTATTACTGTTTGTATGTGTATGTTTGTGTGTTTGAGAGAATGTCTTCCATGTGTACACAGGTGACACACAAGAATAGAGGGTATCAGATTCCCTGGACCTGGAGTAACAGGTGATTATGAGCCTCCCAATGTGGGTGTTGTAATCAGGACTCAGGTTATCCCCAAGAAGAATATGTGCTAAGCAACCTACCAAGCCCCATGATGCTTTTTATTCAATAATCTAAAAGTCTTTCACAGACTAACAACAACAAAACCTAACTAAATAAAATAAATAAACTATCCTTAGGAACATGGTGAATCCATATTAAGATGTATATGGTCAATCAATATTAAGATGTATATGGTCAATTTGCACCATAAGTTTAACAGAATCCAAAGACAATGCCCAACAATTTATACCAGAAAAGCTGATTCCAAAGCTACATGCAAAGTGGAAACACTCAAAATGCTCAAGGGGATTGTTAAAAAATAGTACACACATGGACAAAATGTGATTTCTATATTTACCACAAAAGCTACCATAATTAAGATTGTGTACAATATTTGTAAAAGAATAAAGGGGATGAAGAGAATAAGCCAAGAACAAAAGCAGGAAAACATAGTCAACTTTTAATCAAAAGACCAAAGAAAACTCAGCCAGGAAAATTGTGATCTTGACCAATGTTACCCAGCTACCTATGATTCTATGTGTATGGAAATTTAATAAACAGACTTCACAACTCCCACAAAATTAACTCCAAGTGATCATTAAACTGTTGTGCTTCTTACTCTTTATCTATTGATATTTCTTCCAAACAGAAAAGCCCCATGCTCTAGAGCCCTCTCTGCAAATGGAGATAATCATCTCCAGAGCCTACTATGGCTCTACAGGCCCTCATACCCACTGTGTTTTCATGCAAACCCAGCCCCAATGATGTCCAATCACAAAACAATATAGAAAAATAATTTAATGTCTGCCTTCTGCCACATGGATTAAGGCACAAGATGTGGCATCTGCCCTATCCACCTGCCCAACACCATGTAAACTTGAGAAACCTCTGCAGCTCAGAAACCTCTTTTGTGCACTGGAACTGAACTTCCCTGAATCACACCATTGTGGCTGGTAGTAGCAGAAAGTTGAAAGTATTCTAATCATATATTGCTGAAGGATGATCCCCATCACCTCCTTACTACCAGTTTCTAAACTATCTGTAACAATCATAAGACAACTGAAAGTGGAATGCAATGTTCAAAACTTCTAGAAACCAGATCTTCAGTTTTCCAATCTGTCTTCCCAATGCATACCAAAAGCAGTGCCTGGGTGTGCACACTGGACAGCGATATTACCAGCATCTTAGCCTCCCATGCCAAGGCAACAGAACCTCCTGCTCCCCAGGGAATCCACACTCAGCAAGGCTCAGAAGCCAAGGGCCACTGCCCAAGTCATCACATGGATCAAGAGAACCACAGTCTGTCTCATGGTCCATTCCAGTCCCAGCAGCTCTGACAGCTCAGCAGACTTGTTCCTCCTGGTCTGGGGTCAGTGGTCCCCACACTTACCATGGCATGGCTTGTGGTCTTCCTTAAGGCTCCCTACAGCAGAACAGAAGAGAATCCTACAGAAGAGAATCTTGAAAAGAACCTACCTCCTACTGGTACTCCTGATCGCTAAGTCTTCCCAGAGTTAGGACCACCCAACTTGGGGTCCAGACATCAGCAGTTACCCCACTAAGTGAGCAGAGATCAAATGACTAAGACAGCATAGGCCATCACAGCTCTGCCCTTCTACCCTAAGGTCACATAGGGACCTAGTCTGGGAAAAGTGTAGTTTAGTAGAATCTTCCATTCTCCCAGAACATTTCCTGATCCTCTTCCAAGGTACAGGGTCCTTTGTGTGCACATTCCATTACACACTCAATGTCCAGTGCAGCCAACCCTTTACTTCATAGCTCAGAGGTCCTACAGCCAAACACAGGTCATATTCAAACAGTAACTGTTGTTAAAGCAAAAAGAAGCCATGGATTAGACAACAATGAAGTGTCTCTGGGAGGACTTGGATACAGGAAAAGTAGTAGAAATGATATCATTATAATCCTAAAAAATTATGTTAAAAAGTTGAATCAGGCTTTATGGTCATGTGCTCCAGAGACAAGGGATTTGTATTAGGGCATACCAAGTACTACTCACATCATTTAATCTCTCAGGTTATACATCTTAAACCTGGAAAACCTATCATGTTATGCAGGGCCTCAGCATTTTATCCAGTTCTATTCTGGTTGGACTAGTGTAACTACAGTAATTTGTTTTCACAAAAGTTCAATTCTTTATCCAGATTCTTGATTGTCTGGTCTGTAAACCAGATAAATGGCCAGTCAAGACATTTATTGATCATCTAAAATTGATTATCTCACTGCTCATTGCTAATGTCAACTACTGTCAAAGCAGAAAAGCTTTTACCCTCCTTTTGCCTCCCTTTCTATGCTATGACTACACTTGCTTTACAGTTGGTCAGTGAACTCATTTCTTACACAGGTCCTTCTTCATTTGTAAGTTCCCAAAAAAAAGTCAGAGAAGTTGGAGGACACTCATTCACTGGTCTATTTTTCCTTCTCACAGACCAGTCAAGTCCCAGCCTAGAAGGAGTTGCAGGACTGCCTGTCTTCTCAGCCCTAGGCAGTAGAGGAAGGATTAAATGTTCAAAGCAATTCTCAATTACATAGTGTGAGGCAAGTCTGAGCTACAGGAGACATTGATCTAAACCAGTGGTTCTCAAACTTCTTAATGCTGTGACCCTTTAATACAGTTCCTCATGTTGTGGTGACCACCCCCAACTGTAAAACTATTTTCATTGCTACTTCATAACTGTAATTTGCTACTGTTATGAATTGTAATATAAATATCTATGTTTTCCAATGGTCTTAGGCCATTCCTTTGGTAGGGTCATTTGATCCCTCAAAGGGAGCCTCAACCCCCCAGGTTGAGAACCACTGCTCTAAACTGATACATATAAATAAATAAATAGCATTTAAGGAAAAAAAATGGAATGAAATTCTTAATGGCTGGGAAACACTGGGAAATAAAGACAGAGATTAGATCAGTAATGCATTTAAAGAAAATGAAATTTTAAAAATGAAACCAGTAACTGACTTTTTAAAATGATAAAAATAATTGGAAAAACACTTAGCTACACTGACTTTGAAAAAGACTAGGCACTTTCCTGGTAGAGAAAATGCCATTAATAAGACATTGGATGACTTTGTCCCATGTAAAATGTTAGCTGTTGAGTGCTATAAGCTGACACATGGAGTTATAGCTGATGTCTTGTGTCTCAAACCTCTCAGCTGACTTAACTGTTTCAACCAGGATTGCATATATCTGCATAGGAGAGTTTCCTAACTCAGTAGTTCAAGGTACCCTCCCTAAATTGTACACCCACCAATTCTGCCTGTCTTCATGTACATGGAAGCAATTAATACAAAGAATTAAATTACATAGAAAGTCACTCACCCTGCTCCAGTAGGTCTGTCTTTATGATGGAGACTCCTGCAGCTCACTGCCTTAAACTTGAGTTTGTGATCTAGTTACTGTCTAGCCTGTTTATCCCTGCAGTGTACACAAAACAAGCCATGCTCCACATGCAAATCCTTTCCGTCACTGCAATGGACAGTCTACTATGTGACTTAAATTGGCAATTTTATAATTCTGTGGTGCTACAGATCTGTAATCCCAGAATTTAGGATGTCTAGTCAGAGCAAGGGCAATGCCCTGTGGGTCTACAGACAGGTTTCAAGTCCACCTCAATTTACATAGGAGACCTTGACTCAAAACCACTTTTCAAAACGACTGGAGATGCAGCTGTTCTAGAATTAATATATCTTCGTGGCACACCAGGACTTAATGTTGGTTGTGGGCCTTTTGGCTGGTTGTAAATCAGACTTGTTTCCATTGTTATGGAAATTGTATCTTAAAGGCCAGTTAAACCTGGTGAACAAACATTTACATCTTATCATACTAATCTCTAACAGGCATGATTAGCACACCTCTTATCTTTGGGGTATTTGGGAGGCAGCATTCCTTTATCTTAATTCTACTTTTTGACTTAATGTCTCCTAAGAATTGGTAAATCTTTATACCATCAATTTTATTATCATCAATTCTACTCTTCCACATCACAGTCTAGCAGTGGAGTGGAAGATACTGTTTAAAAGCTCCACAGAATTAATTCCAGACAGATCCTAAACCTAAATTTTAAAAGTGCAGAACTTCTGGAAGATACTAGAGAGACCATGACTCTCCGGGTTTGGCAAATCTGCCTTCCATAGTGACAATACAAGTACCACAGGTGCCAGCATTTCACAGTGATGTCAACAACAAGGCTATTTCTAAGCACAGTCCCGTTCCCATGCAGACACAGTCCGTGAAATGAAGTTACTCAGAGGCTCCCAGTCAGTCCTTGGGATAGACCATGCAGCACCACTCAGGACTACTCAGGACCATGCAGGGACATGCTAAACTCCGCATAGCCACTGGCTCCCACCCAGGCGGGGGAGGACCCAACACACCGGCTCCCATGGCTCAGCCAGCTGCTCCACCCAGTCTGGGGACAGCAGACCCTCATTCACCATGGCCAGCCACTCGTTCCAGTCTGGGGACAGCAGCCGCTCACTCACCATGGTGTGGCTGCCAAGCTTGCCCACACTCTCCCTACAGGGAAGTCCGAGGCGCAGCAGCTGGGACGACTTCCGTCTCCCTCAGCAGAGAAGTTGAGCCTGGAGCCCGGAAGAACCCGCCCATCTGACTGGCACGTCCACAGGAGGCTCTGATTGGCTAGTGAGGTATGAATGACAGGACCCAGTAAGCTGAAGGAACACACTGCAGGAGTTTCCCCCTGGCTTCCACCCATAGCACAGACCTATCCCAAATTGCCTGGAGATCTGTACCAAATTCAACAAGTCTCTGGTTAATGTAAACCAATGGATACAATTTTAAAAAGAAGTATACAAATTCATAAGGAGGCTAGTCAGACAATGTTGCACAAAGGGAACACAGGGTAACTCAAGAACATTATTAAGGTCCACAATGGTGTTGGGACTGATAACCACAGCCCAATGAGTGGAAAGAGTGGGGTTCTCAGGATCTGAAGCATCCCCTTCCCAAATGCCCTGGTCATAGACCTTTATCAGCTCTCCCAAGCATATTCCTGGTTTTAGAGAAGGAACTGTTTTGCATCAGGGCCTTAGAGAAAGCTCCTGAGGCCTAGGCAGGTTGCCAAACTTGGAGAGGCCTAGTTTCTCAAGTGTCTTCTAGAAGTTCTGCACTTCCAATTTGACATTTAGGTGTAAGATCCATTTGAAGTTAATTTTGTGAAAATTGTAAATGGCATCTCATATGTTCAATAGACTCTACTACTAAGCTGTGATGTAGAAGAATAGAAGTGGTGATATAAAAGATTTACCAATGCTTAGGAGATTGTAAATCACACAATGGAGAATTTAGCTAAGGGAGGGCTGCATCTAAAATACCTCAAAGATAAGCCATATGTTAACCATGCCTGTTAGAAATTAGGATGCTAGGATGTAAATGTTTGTTCACCTTTTATGAATACTGTTATTAGTCATACATCTGTGGCTAAAACAGCTAATGGGATGTTCATCCATGGAGAGGATAGAGAGATCCTCTTTGTATAGCTATCTCTATAGTAAGCTGGAACATCATAATGTTAAGAGGAATTTCTTAGTTGTGTTGTACTGTATATACATCAATTCAATGATGTTTTGTAAGTATTTTCTATTTCTTTGTATTGCCTACATACATCCATTAAAAACCAAAAGCATGGTTATAGTAGTGATGCCATGTATTATGTGAAGACTGCTTTGTGTTTTCTCTATGGTTTAGCTTAACAAATGGTACCTAGGAAATATTAATTTATTACATTATCTTATTCACACTTTTATTCATGTTTCTTTTATTTAATTTTTGTTGCTCAGAACTATCTTAAGACAAACAGTTGGTACCTTCCTATGATCAACTGTACCTGCTTACAAAGATTGACCACCACAGAGTTTGCTGACTATTGATATTCCATCACAGAAGAAAATTTCCCTTCCTTCTGAGTATATAGCCTCTTTCCCAGCCAACTGTAAGCAATTCAGCCCTAATGACACATAGTCCTATGGTTTGTGGGAGGAGCTAGAGTATATAGCCTCAGAAAGACTTAGATGGAGTTGGATTCTGCATATGCACCTATTGGAAAGCCATCTTTAAAAGTGGTAATTTACCTTGAGCTATCAGGCTTACTTCCTATGTACACTGAGAAGTGTAATGCAATGCTAGAGTATATGGGAAGTGGAAGAGTAGAGAGAAGGTAAGCTCTACGATGCAGCTATCGGAGAGCCATTGTATATAGTAAGTAGAGACATTCCTGTATAGCTGTTTTTGAGTATCTGTCTTGGAGTTTCTATTGCTGTGAAGAGACACCATAACTATGGCAACTCTCACAAAGAAAAACATTTCACTGAGGCTGGCTTACAGGTTCAGAGGGTTTGGTCCGTTATCATCATGGCAGGAAGCATGGTGGCCTACAGGTAGACATAGTGCTGGAGAAAGAGCTGAGAATTCTACATCCAGATCAGCAGGCAGAAGAAAGTAACTGTAACACTTTTCCTCCAACAAGGCAATACCTCCTAATAGTGCCACTCCCTACAGGGCTATGGGGGCCATTTTGATTCAAACCACCAAAGTATCCAAACTCCTGTAAGTATCTCTTCAACCATGTTCAGTAAGTAAGCCCCATAAATTCATTGGTTCCCCAGGGTAGACTTTGCTGAAAGTCTACCAAAGACATTAGGACAGACATTGTATATCCCAATGGGATGGAATAGACATTGCTTTATGCCCCTCCACAGAGGATAAAATTCACACAATAGATCATAAATATATTTGTTAATGTTCCTATGTCTCATGGTATTATAAAAAGGAATAAGTGCATAAAAGAACATATTGGAAGAATGTAAATATGGAAATGGCCTTAGTAAAGAAAGACTTAGATATATAAAGATAGTGTCTGGATGGCTCCAGAATAAAAAAGTTATGAATGTCCGAGTAAGTTGTTTAAGGTACATAAAGGATGAGATTTAGGAATCATATATTGTGTTAAAGTTGGCAAAGTCAGATATCTACTATTTTAAGGACTGACTAAAATTTATATCAAACAAAAGTTTATTGAGTTATGTCTGGCTATTGAAATATTATACAGTAGTTAAAAATAATGAGCTTGTGTGAAACTGATCTTCTAGGTGTTTAATAATCATTCTTGGAAGCTATTCTAATGTGGTTAGAGGGGCTAAAAGGGAGAATATTTCTCCCCTTTGTAACCAGATGAATCTCTCCTGCCCACCTGTTCCTGAATAACCATTCAGAAGCTTATATTAATTATAAATGTTTGGCCATTAGCTCAGGATTATTATTAGCTAGCTCTTACATGTTGTTCAGAATCTTAAATGGTCTTATAATTTAAAAAAACCCAGTACCAGATATTGGGGTAAAAGCTGAAAGATTAGAGAAGCAGACCAAGCCACAGCCAACCTCGCCTCACCAACTCCTCAGCTGATCCTGTTTCCACAAATACTCAGGCTGAAAGCCTCTGTGTCTTCACCTGAAAAGCCTCAGCCAAAAAGAGCCTCGGTTTCAGTTTCCTCATGCCTTACATACCTTTCTTTGCCCTGCCATATTACTTCCTGGGGTTAAAGGTATGTGTGCTTCCCAAGCAAAGGCATGAGATCTCAAGTGCTGGGATTAAAGGTGTGTGCCACCACTGTGTGACCTCTATGTCTAATCTAGTTGCTGGCTCTGTTCTCTGATCCTCAGGTAAGCTTTATTAGAGTACACAATATATCACCACATTTCTTGTTTTTTTTTTTTTGTCTAAAATAATAAAAGAAGGTTATAACTAATATAAGAAAAACTATATACAATAAGTACAATAAATATATACAATATATGCAGTCAAGAATTACATTAACAATGTTCAGTCCATTAGCATTTTACAGATCCAGAGAAAATGCTCCATTATCTATCTTATTTTGGTGAGTCCAGAGTGTTGTACCCAGTTCACTTTTTATCCTAACTTGTGTTACCAACAAAAAACTATATTTTGATGTCTTTCAAACTTATACACTTTACACCTCTTTAGTGAGTTCCATTTCTGAATTTGTTAGCAAGGAAAACTGTAACTTTAATTATCTAATCTTCAACTCCATCAGAAACCTAAGAAGAAAACAATATTACCTAAGTAAGCAGGAAGTGCAAACAAGCGACTTCCAAAAAATGTGAGAAATGGCAGAAACAACTGGATACCAGATTTCTCCACAACATTGGGGCTTCCATCTTTGGCATACAGGCATAGCATATCTGACAGACTTATCTGTGAAGCAGGATTTTGGGAGCAAATACCACTACAGTCTTCCTACCTTGTCTTGGCAAGGTTCGGCAGTTCTTTCTTTTGTGTCTTCCTTGTCCATCTTGAGCAGCATACTGTCAGCCGTTGAGGCAAGGCATTTTCTTGCCCAGTGGCTTACTTTTCCCACAAAGGAAGTAAACTCCATACGGAGGTTCTTCAGTGCTCATCATCTTCTCTGAAGTAGATTGGTGCTCCCAGGAGCAGACATGTCTCATTGTCATTAAAAAAAAAGAATCTATGTTATTAAAACATCTTAAATGCCATATTCTGTAAATCTCTGAAGTGTTTGAAGATGATCTGTCTATCTAAAATATATTTCTGCTTGACCTTGAGAACATACATAATATGGCTACAAGTTTGATTGTAATGACTAACTACTAACCTGCATTTCTTTATTATCCTAAATAGTTGGTAATAACTTTCAAATAATAGAAAATTACATTACATTGTTAAATGAGCTGAGTAGGTACAATATCTTAAACAAGAGTAGGAATATATATACAGTATGTTCTAACAAAAATAATCTCAAATTTGTATCAGCATACAAAATTTGTATACAATATACAAAAATCCAAATCCAATATGTAGATGTAACCAACCGTCTTATTAAATAAGAAACACAGAGCCAATGCGAAGAAGAAAGCCAAGAGATCAGAGCTAAGAGCCTTACCACCTGCTGCTTAGCCTCTTAAGCCAAGAGACCTCTCCGAAAAAGGGGCCTACTTCCTGTGTGGTTGTCTTTATATAGTCTCTCTGTTCTGCCTTCTCATTGGTTGTAAACCCAAACACATGACTGCCTCTCCACTGCCTCTCTGTAGAGACTTCCAGGTCTTCTATGGTATTGAGTTTAAAGGCGTGCATCTCCAATGCTGGCTGTATCCTTGAATACACAGAGATTTACCTAGCTCTGTCTACCAAGTGCTGGGATTAAAGTCGTGCACCACCACCGCCCCGGCTCTTGCTATGGCTCTAATAGCTCTGACCCCCCGGGCAACTTTATTTATTAACATACAATTAAAATCACATTTCAGTACAAATAAAATACCACCATACCAATATAAAAATATTTAAAACTACTAGTTGCTTTTTAAAAGCAGCTTCAATAATCTACTCTTTTATCTTATCATATCCATATCCTCCCTTTTTGTTTTCCGAGTAGATTCAATTATCTACCTTTTATCCTATCATTTCTATATTATTTTTCAGAGTAGATTAGATATTCTACCTTTTATCTTATCATTTCTATATAATACATTTCTATATCATATCCCCCTTTCTTCTTTTAGAAAGAGATTGACAAGGACCAATAACAATTT